TGACCAAAGTTTTTTTTAAATTTGTTTTATTCGATTTTCAATTTTTTTGTGTAAAACATCATCCCTTATTATTATTATTATTTTTTTTTTAGTCACGTATTTGGCAATTAACGAAAAATTTTCCAAAAAAAAAAAAAAAACAACAAATGACGTAATACATTGGGTGGGGACAATTCGAGATGGCGGTGGCGGTGGCGGCGGCGGCGGTGTCGTGAGGGCAATCACAACACCGGTGACAGATCATTAATTATATAATATTAATTTTTTTTTTTTTTTCATTTCCTTTTAAGCGAATTTTTTAAAAAAAAAAAACAAACTAATCAAATAATAATTCAAATTCAAGGATTCGTCAATAATAATAATAATAATAAAATTTCAAAACCGAACTGCCAAAAAAAAAAAAAAAAAAAAAATGTAAAATTATTATCAATATGGATTATTATTAATTGGCAACATGATAAATTGATTATTTATTCCCCTTTATTATTATTATTATTATTATCATCATTATTATTATGCCATATCTATGCTTATATTTTACGTTTAAACCAAACGTTACCAAATTTGATTGAAAAAAAAAATACCATAATTTATAAAATGACTGTTTTTCATAAATAAAAAAAAAAACTGCAAAATTATGATTTACAAGTTTTATAATAAATAAAAAATGCCAGAGGATTTTTTTTAATAAAAAAGATTCAACTGCCATTTTTTTTTTATATTTTCTTGTACGACCGGCTATAAATACCAACTTGACAAAAAAAAAAATCAGTTTATTTAAATACGCAACACGACTTAATAATAATAATAATAATAATAAATTTCAAATAAGGAGCAAGACGTATCATTATTATTATTAGGTTAAATTTTTTTTTTTTTAATCAAATTATTCGTTCGTTCGTCGATAAATAAATAAAAAATGTCGTCTGCTTGTGACTTGCCGAAATAAAAAAAAAAAAAAAACGTGGAAGCGGTTTTGACCATTTAAAAAATTTTAATTGTTTCCTTAATCGATGCATTATTATTATTAATAATAATAATTAATTATTAATTAAATTTAAATAAATAAGTGATACGTTAATACTAATAATAATAATAATAATAATAATAATGTGGGACGGCCCACATTCTTCGGAAAATATTATAAATAGCACCACCGATATTCGAGTATTTGTCCCTAAGGAATCGGGTAGAGACCTGGGATAAATGCTTAACAACCCCGACAAATAAGAGCCTTGTCGTGTTTAAGAGTGACCATAATAATAATAATAATAAACAAATTTAGACATTTTTCATAACGTTTCGTTATATGACAACAAAAAAATAAAATAAAATTTTTTTTTTATTGAATTCGAAGTCAATTAATATACACGCACGCACGCGCACGCACGCACGCACACACACAAGCAAAATCCATTAAAGGCTTTGTTGCAACTGAACTCAACCCCCTCCCACTCTCCCCGAAAAAAAAACCGCTAAAAACACTAAATTACATAAGTTTTTATAAAAAAAAATTTTTTATCGAACATTATTCATATTTAAAGATGGAAACTATCTAATGACACGTTACAAAATTAATAACACTACGTTCTATTATTATTATTATTAAAAGTTTTTTTTTCGTGCGGATTTTATCTTTACGATTCACTTATTATATATTTAATCTCGATAAAAAAAGAAAAAACAATTGTTTTATTATTATTATTATTATTATTATTATTATTGGTGTTTACACGTACGTTAAATTTAATTATACGAAGTATCTTAGTATGGGTATGCCTGCTTGCGTGAGTGAGTGAGTGCGTGAGTGCGCGCGCGCGTTTAAAATAAATGATTTTAAACAAAAGAAAAAGAAGATAGATGACAGAGAGAAGAAGAAGAAAAAGGAAGAAGAAGAAGAAGAAGAAGATGAAGCAACAGGTTTATGTTGAAAGGGTTCACATTTGGTTCGACACGTTCGTTCTTGCAACGAAGAAAACTCATAAATTTTTTTTTCTTTTTTTTTTAATGCCAAACGAAAAATTTTTTCGAATTGTGTTGGTTTGCTTTTATTTATTATCATCATCATCGAGATCAATTTTACCTGATTAAACGACGATGATAATGATAATAATTAATTATTATCATTATTATTTAAACATGTCAATGGAAAATTGATGAGACGAAGAACAAAAAAAAAAAAAAAAAAAAACTGTCAATTTTTTTTTTTTTTTTTTGTTTTAGCTTCTATAAATAATTTATTAAAATAAATTAATAAAAATTTCCTATTATTATTATTATCATTATTATCATTTTGTTTAAACAAATAAATAAATAATAATAATAATAATAATAAAAATTTGACATTTAATTAATTTTAAAAAATTGCAATATTTGTTTTTCCCCCTCTCCCCCATCCCTCCCCTCCTCCTGGATTTCTTAACGATTTGTCAAACGAACCTAAATAATAATAATAATAATAATGATAATGATAATAATGATATTTTTTTTTTGTAATTTCAGGTAAACTGGACCCGATCTTTATTTAATCAGGTACTATTACGTAATTATATAAATTTTACATAAAATTTTATCATTATTATTATTATTATCATCATCATCGTTTCTTTTGGATTATTATGTAAATAATATATATTTATGTATATGTTCTCGAAGGTATTGTGTTACTCGATGATGATAATGATGATGATAAATTACAGTTCCAGAGTATTATATTTATATATATTTTCCTTTTTATTCAATAAAAAGAAAAATATGAAAATTAAATAAAATAACAAAAAAAAACTCAAGATTCTTTTCTTTTTACCGGTAGTATAAAAGCCAAAAAAAAAAAATAAAATAAAATAAATAAATATAAAGTGAAAAAAGGAAAAAAAAAGGAGAGAGAGAGAATCGGGTTTGAAATAAGGGAAAGAGAGAAAAAATGAATAAAAGAAAGGTTAAAAAAAAAAAAAACAAAAAAAAAAAAAGGGCGAGAGACGAAAGTTAGAAGGAGAGAGAGAGAGAGAGAGAAAGAAAATTAAACGAAACGGGTTCAAGAGGGAAAAAAGAATTCCTTTTTTTTTTTTTTTTTTTTATGAAGATGAGAGAGAGAGAGAGAGAGAGAGAGGAAAAAAAAGAGATGAAAAAAAAAAGAGTAAAAGAGAAAGAAATAAAAAAAAAAAAGCTGACGGAGAGAGCGAGAGGGATAGAGAGAGAAAGAGAAAAGTGAAAGCGGAAGAGGAGATAAAGGAGACAGAGAGAGAGAGATAGAGAGAGAGAGAGAGAGAAGGGGTTGGAAAGAGAAAAAATTGAAATTCGTAAAATTTAAAAAAAAAAATGGAGATAGAAGGTTTCGGGGGCGAGCAATCAAAACTTTAAAAAAGGGGGTGCGTACAATTTTTTATTATGCCTTCGCAGTCCCTAGTTTTTGCGATAGCTGAGCTGGAGAAGGGATCGTCGGGAGGGGTGGCGGGGAGGCAAGGGAAGAGTGGCATGGGGGGGCAAAGCAGAGGACTGAAAAAAGTAGGGGGGTAAGAGGGAGAGTGAGAGAGAGGGAAGGGGGGTCGCTCTCTCTCCAGGCCTAACTCACGCATTCAGATTTATTAGTTGCAAACATTTTTAATTTCGGGATGGTAGTTTTTTATTTTTTCCAATCAGTACGGCTACAATTACATAGAGTACATAAACAGTAATTAAAATTATAGGCATCATTCGATTCGGGTCTCGACAAAAAAAAAGAATCGCCATTCATTCATTCATTCATTCATTCATTCATACATTATATATATACGTATTCATTAATTGATCGATTAATTGATTCGGTATTCGATTCGATCAAAAAAACGATACATACTTAAAGTCTATTACATATACATATATAAATCAATAAATAAATATTTAGTACAAAAAACTCGACATTTTTAATAATAATAATAATAATAATTAGTATTCAAAGGGGGAGGGGGGAAAGGGGGCGGTCGTATAGTGTTGGTCGCTAATCGAACCGTTAAATACTCATATCAATGAGAAATAAAAAAAAATATTTAATCGACATGTCGAGGTAACAAACGGGTTAATAATAATAATAATATTATTATTATCAATATATTTTACTTGTACATATTTTTATATGTATTTTTATGCATACGGTTGTACCTGATGACGTCATCAATGCCAAAGGAAAAGGTAAGCAAGCGATCGGTGTAAGTGTAAGTGTAAGTGTAAGTGTGTGTGTGTTTATATATATGTGTATACGAAAGCGCATGTGTCAAAAATCTTTAAGTATTTTCACATACGTCACTCAAACTTTTCTCCAACCTTTTTTTTTTTTTTTTTCATTCCTTTCATTCAATATGTGGTGGAATCGTGAATGTGCGTGTGTGTACCTGATTTAATTTTTTACGCGAAGCCAACAATAATAATGATAAAATTTTTATTATCGATAAACTTCGATAACGGTAATAATTTTTAAAAACTTTACCTTTTATTATCATTATTATTATTATTATATCGCGATTAAATATATATATATATATATACCTATTTAACATAATTGTTTTAATTAATTAATAATAATAATAATAATTAAAAATTTAATTGTAAAAATTGTTTTTTTTTGTTTTGTCAAAAAAAAAAAAACAATAATTTACTTCCGCATTTTAAAAAAATTAAATTAAATTTTACTAAAACCAAAATCCGGTTAATTAAAAAACGAAATATTTTAAAAGGAGATTACAACAAACAACCCGCAATCAAACAAACGAACGAGCAAACAAACAAACAAACTTAAATGTATCAATTTATTTTTTTTTTTGCTTGTTTTCGTTTACTTTATTCGCACGTCTTCATTTTTCTAAAAAAAAAAAAAAATTTTTTTTTTAAACACATTTTGACATTCTTTCAATATTTACATTATTATTTTGATCATCATCATCATCATCATTATTATTATTATTATTGATAAAAGAGTTTTTGTTATATGCGTTAATTTTTTTTGTTTTTTCCAGGAGGTGGAGACAATGTCTCCAGATACACAGCATTTTTGTCTTCGTTGGAACAATTATCAAAGCAGCATAACTTCCGCATTCGAAAGTCTTCGAGATCAAGATGATTTTGTTGATGTTACGTTGGCCTGTGATGGTAGAAGTCTTAAAGCTCATAGGGTGGTACTCTCAGCCTGCAGTTCTTATTTCAGGGAATTACTCAAGGTATATCCTCCACCGAATCCCGTTGTGTTCAAAATACCAATAAAGAGAAGAGAATAATGTTGTTGCTGTCGTTGTTGTTACAGAGCACACCGTGTAAACATCCCGTTATAGTTCTTCAAGATGTGTCTTTTGCAGATCTTAGTTCTTTAGTCGAATTCATTTATCACGGAGAAGTAAATGTACATCAAAAAAATTTAACTTCTTTTTTAAAGACTGCCGAAGTGCTAAGAGTGAGCGGATTGACACAGCAGGCCGAAAGAGACGAACAGGTATGAATGATTCATACTTATTTATTAAAAATCTTCATTATTTATTATTATTATTATTTCATTTAGATTTCATCATCGAGGGATCGAATTCAAGGGCCGTCTTCGCCGAACGAGGATTCTTCGACGTGGAATCCAAATCGAGATTCTCCCTGTTCCCAAATTAGTGTCAACAATCCGGCAACGGTAAATCAATTATTGAAAGCAGCAGCATTAGCAGCAAATCGGCATTCGTAAGTTTTCTTCAGAATTATTATTATTATTATTATTTATTTAATATTTCAATTTAAAACATCATATATTTTTATTTGTTTTGCTTACATAAGAAAAAGCAGAAGAAAATCAGTTGAAATATCGGATGATTCGAGAACGACACCACCAAAAAAAACAAGATTGGACGAAAGTCCACCAACGGCTCATAATAATCGGGAAACGAGTGAAAATTCAAACGGTCAAGAAAATTGTCGTGATAGATCGATAACACCCGAACAGGATGTTCCGGCTGATTTATCATCATCATCCGTCAAAGCGAATGTAAATTTTTTTTTTGACTTAATAATAATTATCCATACGTATTTCTGGGGGTGGCATATTTTGTATTCTTTCCCATTTCAGACGAGATCGAGATCGCAGTCACCGATCGGAACGCAAAGGTACAACAACGATGTTAAATCAGAGCCTCTAGAACTTCTTTGCAACAACAGAGATTCATCGACAAACAACGAAAACAGCGTGGATTCGACAGGAAGTCGCGATAAGGATTCCGATAACGAAGATAGCATCGGTTTACACGGAGTACACGATTTAATGAGAGAAAGAGTACCTCATTATTTAAATCCGAACAAATTATTTCAAACTACCTCTCCATTTAATTTTAATATTGCTGCTTTTAATGCCGATCAATTCACAGGTACGACCGCGACCCATTCGAATCAACGAAAAATAATTACAATTAATCAATCCCCCCAAAAAAAAAAAAAAACTATCGGTCAATAAATAAAATTTTTTTTTTTAAGGTTTAGGACCGGTACTACCGAGAAATTCAGATGGCATAGCCGGAACTTCCGCTCAAGGTCAGTAGAAAAAAAAAAAAAAAAAAAAATTTTTTTTGTTTGTTGTTTGTTTGTTGTTGTTTGTGAAAGGATGTGGAAAAAAATTCTAACCGATTTTATTAAATAAATTAACACAAAAGCATGTTTAGAAAAATTAACCAAAAGCTTGGTCTTGTGGTGAAGGTAAAAACTAATTGTTTTGCATGCACATCATGTTTAATAACATGTAAAAATAAATAAATAAAATAAATAAATAAAAAAGTGTATAAATAAATAAATAAAAAAAAATGTATAAATAAAAAATCTGGCCGGCCCACAAGAAATAAAAGAAAAACACAAAAAAAAAAGAAAAAAAAGAAAAATGAAATAGTAAAAATAATAACAAATTTTTTTATTTCAGGGCCGGTTTCTCTATTGAAGAAAGTTTTTACATGCGGATTATGCACAAAAGTTTTGTGCTCGAAAGCGAGTCTGAAACGTCACGTTGCGGACAAACATTCCGCACGTCAGGAGGAATATCGATGTCACATATGTGACCGCGTCTACTGCTCGAGGAACTCGCTAATGACGCATATATATACCTACCACAAGACCAGGCCGGGAGACGTAGACGTTAAATTTTATTAGAAGAGTACGTGTGTGTGTGCGTGTGACCTTTTACGTATTTGCATGTTCCTTTTTTTGATTGAAATTTAAAAAAAAAAAAAAAAAAAAAAGGGAAAGGAAAGAAAGAAAGAAAAAAAAAAGGGAAAAATTTTGTTTTCGCAGGAGTTTTAAAGATTCCACCACCGTCCAGCGGAGGAATAAACGAACCGCAAGAATGTCCTTTCTGCAAGAGAAATTTCAGTTGCTATTATTCGTTGAAAAGACATTTCCAGGACAAACACGAAAGATCGGACACGCTTTACGTCTGCGAATTCTGCCAGAGAAAATACAGGACGAAAAACTCATTGACCACTCATAAAAGTCTTCAACACAGGGGTACGGCGGGAATGCTTAAAAGATTATTGAAAACGTCGAGCATTATCGGACAACAGCAACAACAACAACAACAACACCAACAACAGCAGCAACAACAACAACAACAACAACGTCAACCATAGGCCGATGTTCATTAATAAAAAATGATTCACCACACACAAATAATATAATTTAATTTTTTTTGTTTTGTTTTGTTTTTGTTTTTGTTTTAAAACATTCGCTTCCGGTTGTTGAACGTAATTTATAACCAAAGAAATAAACAAACAAACAAAAAAAATTTTTCGTTCATTTTTGTTTTTAAGTTAAAAGAAGCGAAGAAAGTTGACGTTTTTCTTTCTTTCTCTCTTTGTTTGTTTGTTTGTTTGTTCGTTCGTTTTATATTTTATTACAACGAAAAATCTAATAATAATAATAATAATAAATTGTTTGTTTTCTTCTTTTTTTTTTGGAAATAATTATTTTTCGATCTATATATATTATTATTATTATATATATATATAAATAAATATTAATTGATAAATTCAAAATGAAAAAATTTGATGTAATATTACGATTGAGAAAAATTTTCATTATTACCAACGTAATAAAAAACAAAAAAAAAAAAAAATTTCTTTTGTACTTTTAATAAAAAAAAAAAAAATTATTTTATAACGAAAAAAAAATAATAATGATAATAATAATAATAATAATAGTAATTACCGAAAAAGTACAAATTTTTCTACTTAAAAAAAAATGAAATAAAATTTCTTCGAGTGTTTTTTTTTTTTTTTGTTTTTTATTTTCTTTGAATTTGTCTTTCATTGTAAAAGAAAAAAAAATTAATTTGTATGTTAAAAAAATTTTCTTTTTGTTTTCCCTAAGCCCCGCCCCTTTTTCCTTCTTATCCCTCCCCTCCCTCCTTCTCCCATCACCCCCTCCCCGTTTTTATCATCGTTTTAAATTTTGTTAAATTTTATTTTATAAATGTTATATTCGTTCATTTTTATCCAATTATTATTATTATTATTAATTTGATTTTTAATTGTTATTATTATTATTATTATTATTAATTTGATTTTTAATTGTTGTTATTATTATTATTATTATTTTGCTTTCTGCTTGGGAAATTTCTAGAAACTTTTTCCTTTCTTTCCTTTCCTTTCATCAGTCACGCATTCATTTCATTCGTTTAAATCTTTTTTTTCCAATACATATAATTATTTAATTTTTCCTACTCCCCAAATTCAGCCTTTTAAAAAAAAAATTAAATAATAATAATAATAATAATGAGTACCTTATGAGTACCTTAAATTGTTTGCTTGAGTACAAAAAATAAAAACAAAAATTTTTCTATCTTTTTTCGACCATCAAAAAAAAAGAAAATTTTTTTAAATGTGTTTTTAAATGTAAATATATGTACAAAAAAAAAAAAAATAATACAAACAAACAAAAAATTTCTTTTTTTTTTTTTATAAATCGTCGTCGTCGTCATCATCGTCATCATCATTATTATTATTATCAGAATTTAATGCCGGGAGGGGGGTGAGGAGGGGAGGGAAGGGAATTTCGAATCCCCCTCCTCTCTCTCTCTTTCTAAAAATTTTTTTTTATCTTGCCGAATAATAATACATACATACATACATATGTGCATAAAATTTTAACATATCTATTAAAATGATATCAATAATAATAATAATAATAATAATAATTAATAAAAATTTTTAATAAATTTAATTGTGCCAAATATTAAATAAATATTTATTTAAAAAAAATTTGATATTAATTATTTTGGATGTACAACAAAAATAAATTAAACAAATTTTGTTTGTTTTCTTTCTTTCTACCTTTATTATTATTATTGTCATTATTATTATTATTTTTTTTAACGTAAATGATATATATATTATATTATATTATTTAAATAAAATAATTAATTAATTGATATAATAATAATAATAATAATAATAATTATAAATGAATAAAATTTAAAAAAAAAAAAATCTGTGATTTTTATTTGTGTATTATTAATTATAATAATAAAAAAAATTATTATTATTATTATTATTATTATCGCTATTTATTGATGACGTCATCGTTTTTCTTTTTTTTCCTTTTTTTTTTTTTGTTGGAAATAAAAAAAATAAAAAAGTTTTTTTTTTTTTTTGTTGTCAGTTGTGTTTTTTTATTCAACTTTCATGACGGAAATAATTGAATTTTTTTTTTTATTTTCGTAGGCGTTCAGTCATCATTATTGTTCAGTAAAAAAAAAAAAAATCAATTATTTATTTGTTCCCTTCTCTTTTATTTAATAATGTTGTTCAGCTTTGTTCCCCTCCCCCTCTCTCTCTCTCTCTCGCTCCCTCTTTCTCTCACTCTCACTCATTCGTTTTAATTCTCCCCCCTTTTTTAATTTATTTGTAATTTTTACCTGTTATAATTCCTCGTCCTCCTCTCTCTCTCTCTCTCTCCATCTCTCTGGCAAGTTTCACCGCTTTATTTCCGGTCAAAACAACAACAACAACATCTACAAACAAAAAAAAAATATTTAAATTGTTAAAAATCATTAAACCAAAGAATCGTTCGTCGTGTGTTTGTGTGTGTGTATGCGAGCATACAAATATTTGCATCTAACAAATCGCGTTTGTTTGTTTGTTTGTTTGTTTGTTTTATTATAAAATAAATTGTTTTTTTGTTTAAATGGGTTGCGGAATTAGCGAACAATATTTAAATAAAATTAATAATAATAATAATAATAATAATTACGGTAAAATAATTTTCGATGATCGTCAATTGATTAAACTTAATAAAAAGTTTGAAAGTTTTTTAGAATCTCAAACGACGACATTACTCGGTGGCGGTTCGTTACTTTTTTAATTAATTAATTAATTAATTTATCAAATTTAATAATAATAATAATAATGATAGTGATAATGATAATAATTTATTTTTTTTAGATTTCGGTAAAAAATATCACGATTCGATTGTCGAAAGATTACTTTTGAGATTGATTTGTCACGTCGGAAGGTTAGACACGAGATTTTCATCGAAATTTTTAATTAATTTACAACCGGTGACGTCACACGTGAGTTATTATTATTATTATTATTTTAAAAAATTATTATATAAACAAATGAAATAATTGATTATAGATTTCTCAACCTAAAAATAAAATAAAATACAAATATTTAGTCAGATTGGATTTGGTTTCTTCTCCGGCATTGTATCCGGAATTTTTCCAACCCCCCGTGCGAATAATCGAAGGTGAAAATGGCGGTGAAAATTTACCCCAAGGTTTTGCTAAAATAAAAGTCGGAGGACAATTTCTAGAAGAATGGATTGATTTTATCGATTCGAATGGTTTTTTAAGAAGAGATAAAATAAATAATAAATTCATACAACTTCTTGCAAGGGCAGCGGCTAAACCGGAAGACTCATTTACACCCATTCAAGTCGATGAATCCATTCATTGCGGTTCTCCAGGAAAAATCGTGGATCCTATTACTCTTTGTCAAATATTACAAACTTCTCCGTCCCAACAATTTTTTTACGGTTCTGGTAATGAGAGAAAAAAAAATGACGTCATCATTCTAAACGTTTCGCCAATTTTCATTATTATTATTATTAATATTAAATTTTAGCATTTTCAAACGAATCAAGATTTCCAGATCCGAGAGATTTTCAAATAGCAATTGTTGAGGGTACACCGGAAAATCGTCTTCACATTTCATTTCTTTCACCAAAAGCTCAATCATTAACATCAGGTACGGGCCCAGGAAAACAATAATAATAATAATAATTTCTTTTTTGGTTAATTAAAAATTAATTTGTAAAAAAATTGTTTTTTTTTTGGGTTCCCTTCACACACGTGACGTAGAAAAAGATGCAGAAATATCAATTTCGTTAGGAATACAAGTTTTAGGATGGCCGACAGGAAGTGATTATCCATCCAGGCTCCCGTTGGATCACGTGGATGTTATTTTAGGATATCGAGCATCTCAATTGGTATTTAATTATTAAATTACGACCTTAAAATATAATTAACGAAACAATTTTTCTTTTTTTTTTTTTTTGTTTTCCCAGGGTTATTATTTATTACCGAAGGGTCCACATTCGTCAATTTATTGCGATGATCGAAATTCAGTTTGGGAAATTCGTACGATTGCCACAGAGATGTTTCTAGAACATCATTATTCACCCAACAGCGTCATTATTCAAATTTTAAACATATTAAACCAAATATTGATTATTTTAAAAGGGAGAGGAGTGAAAACATTAAACAAGCAAGTAAAAACACAGTTTTACTTAAAACAATTTTTCAAATTTAAATTTTTTGTTTGTTTTCAGGTACATAATGAAAAATTTATTTTTTTACGAACTCGAACGTTATAAAGATATAAAAGATTGGTCACCTAAAATGATATCGAAAAGGATTTTATCGATTCTCGATCGACTTTTATTTCATTTGAGACGACAACACATTCCGAGTTATTTTTTTAAAAATAAAAATTTATTACTCATCGAAAATATTTGGGAAGATGATCACGTGAGCGATGGAGATATATTAAATAATTACATAAAATTACTTTACGACGAGAGTAATAATAATAATAATAATAATAACCAAGAATTACAACAATACGATACGAACGACGACGATAAATATTTTAAATATCAAATAGAAAACGTAAACGAGAGCAAATTTTTTTTTCTAAAAATTAAATTAAATTAAAATATAAATTTTAATAAGAAAAAAGAAAAAAAAAAATTTTTTTTTAGGTTATGATAGAAAAATGGGAAAACGTCATAACGAATTTACTTCCGCCATTATCGAATAAAAATATTCGTCGTTTAAACATCAGTAAAAAAAATTCCAAGATGATGATGAAAAATATTTTTTTCACTAGACAACAATTAAAATATGTCGGAATTTTATTAAAAGAAATATTAAATTATAAAAACATGAGAAAAAAAACAAATTTTTATTTTTCAAACGACCACATTGACCACCGTCCAGTACATTCGACGAAAACAAATAATAATAATAATAATAATAATAATAAAGACGATTTTATTTATTTGATGGAATTGATATTTAACGACGCTAAAGAAAAATTATCCCACTCGAAAAATTTTTCCCATCGTACCAAAAACCATATTAATAATAATAATAATAAAATAATATTAAGTTATAATTTGTCAACGAGAATGATAATCGAAGATATCAAAAGAAAAAATAACGTTAATTTTAATTTTACTGATGACGTATCAATCGTTATCAAAGTAATATATATATATCAACATAAAATTTCCAACCATAATAATAATAATAATAATAATAATAATAATTAATAAAAAAAATTTTCAGGTTATGGAATGTTTATACGAAGCAATGGATTCTGATCCTAAAATTCTCGGTCCCGTTCTTCGGCCATATTTAAATCAATTATTTAAAGGTTCACACGATAATTGTTGGTTTTTAAACGAATGGTTAAATAAAATGGAATTATCCGAGGTCGATTACACAATCAATCAATCAATCGATATATCGATCGATACATCGATCATTTAAAACAAATCGAATTTTTTTTTTTTTTTTTTTTTTAGATTCAAGCAATCAAAGCATTTAGTTCTTTGGTAACTTCCGGTTTTATCGATCCTCTAGAAGGAATAATAAATTCTGCAAATAAAAAATGGATTTGGGCACAAAATTCTTTAAAAATAATACAAACGTTTAATGTGAGAATAGAAATTAAATTCAAATTTTTTAATAATTTTTTTTTTTTTTTAAATTATGATTTTATTTTTAGGATGAAACATCAAGAAAAATGATAATTGGAGAAAATATTGACGTTAGCAAATCCGGACTCAGACTCATATTCACTCCGAAACCTGGAAAAACGATTCGTTATAATATATCGAAAATGAACGGTGGGGAAAAACCGGAAATAGTTGAAAAAAAAATAACAGAAACCGTTAAATCGTATCAGGATGTTTTAAAATCCACGTTACAACCTTTTAAAATAAATAATTATTATTATTATTTATGGGAAAAAAATGGTAAAAAATGAAAAGAGAAAGAGAGAGGGGGGAACGAGAGAGAGAGAGAAAAACAATTTTTTTTTTCGTTTTCAGGTTTGAAATTATCAAACGAAAAACATCAATTACATATATTATTAAGAGATTGTAATCCTTTTACAATTGGATCGATTGATAGCAGACGACAGGGTAATCACAGGGGTTTAGGTAGCATCGTACAAGCTCTGATATCCCTTAAAAAATTATCAGTGAGTGATAAGAAAAAAAAAAAATATATACTTCGATTGCGTACCTAAATTATTAATATTAAAAAGTGCTTTTTTTAAGGTTTTGCAAGAAATTTCCCAGTACCTTCCAGAAAAAGAAAAAAATCGAGTTTTAAACGATATAAGAAAACTATCGAAAGAAATGCAAAGATTATCACTGGATAAATTTAAAAATAATAATAATAATAATAAAAAGGAATTTAACTTTAAGGTAAACATAAATTTTCACGTATACCCCCCAAAGTACCTTATTAATCATTATTATTATTATTATTTAAGAAATCGAGAGAAAATTTGGATAAAAAAAATTACAATGAAACAAAAAAAGAAATGTATAAAAATTTAAGCGAATTGTCATCAGTCAATAATAATAATAATAATAATAATAATAATAATAATAATAATAATAATAATAATAAAGAAGATGAAAAAAAAATTAAAAATTCAAATGAAAGAAACGATAATAATAATAATAATAACGTTTTGCTATTGCTCAATACGTGCAGGAGAATGAGAGAAAATCAACAAAATTTATCAGGTACCAAAAAAAATTTTTTACGTAAAATTTAAATAAATAAAAACTATTATTATTATTATTATTATTATTATTATTATTATTATTATTATTATTATTATTATTATTATTATTATTATTATTATTATTATTATTATTATTATTATTATTATTATTATTATTATTATTATTATTATTATTATTATTATTATTATTATTATTATTATTATTATTATTATTATTATTATTTTGTTCTTTTCAGATTGTCAAATCGGTACCTCGTGCAAAAATTTAAAAAAAATAAATAACGAAAAAAATTTATTATTATTTAAATAAAATAATTTTTTCCGATTCGTCATCTTTGGATTCTTTTAATAATTAAAAATTTTTTTCATTAATGAATGTACGATAATTTAAGATGAAAAAAAAGAAAAGAAAAAATTGCACGCGATACGTTTAAACCGCCCTTTTATATATATATTGATTTTCTCTTTCCCAGCATCCCTTTCTATTTAATCTCTGGACCACTCGCAGATATAACTCGGGTGTGCCTCAACCGGATTTTTATTATTATCATTATTATTATTTTTTTTTTTTCCTTTTCTTTTTTTCTTTTTTAAAACAAAAATGTTAACACGGATTATAGTGTTTTTTAATAATAATAATAATAATAATAATAATAAATGTGTTTTCATTTATTAAAAAAATAAATAAAAATTTTTTTTATAGTTTATCGAATTTTTGTTTTATTAAAACGAGTGAGAAAAAGAAAATTATTACGTAATAATTTCAGTTTTTTTAAAGTAAATTTACTTAATAATAATAATAATAATAATAATAATAATAATAATAATAATTTCGTTAATAATTTTGACTAAAATTGATTTTTTGTTTTTATTAACCGAATTTTCACCTTCGAAAAAAAAAAAATGTTTGAATAAGAATTATTCGTAATAATAATAGTAATTATTATTATTAATATTATTATTATTATGAAAAAATTAAAATCAGTGAAAAATGACGAAAATAATATCGGAGGGAAATTGGACGACGCGGGGATATTTAAATATAAGTAAAAATTCTTTTTTAATACCAAATTTAAATGAAAATTCAACGAACGAGACAAATGAAAGTGCCCTAAATCCTATAAACGGCCTTCACGATTTAAATGAAACCGGATATGTTCCTATAAATGATTTTACCGATGCGGGTAGGTAAGAAAAACCGGAAATGGTCAAAAAAAAAAAAATGGCCAAAATTTTCTTTAATAAAAAATTATTTTTGTTAGGTTTTACAGATGTACAAACGTTTATCTTAGCTGGAATAGCAACGGTTATACCATTATTATTTATCGTGGCAGCCATACTTGGAATTCGTTTTATTTGGAAAAAATATAGAACGAATAAAGAAGAATGTTACGAAGGAGTTTTAAAAAAAGAAGAAAGTATGAATCCATGTGGAAAATTACAAGGATATACTTTGCCTCAAGAAGTATGTAACAACAACTTTTATTATTATTAATATTAATAAAGTTTAATAATTTTTATGATTTGTTTTTTAAAGTTAAGATCGAGCGAATCGCATTTTTCCGTTACACCAAGTGATGAAACAACAACAGTTTCAGGTTTACAACTTCCTAATCCTAAAAATAATGGAAGCATAATAACAATGACTTTAAAAAATAATCATTTGATTGTTGAAACCGAAGAAACAACCGTAAGTTTTCATTTTTTTCTCATACATAATTATCGACTCTATTTTTTTAATTATTGATTTTTTGCAAAAGAATACTCCAGTCGTACCTAAAATTGAATCAAAGGGAACAACAACAAAATTTGTAACACCAGCAACGTCAGATTTTAAAATAGAAGAAATATCAGAAAAAAATAATTATGATGTACATATAAAAACTAGCGAAGAATCAACGGAAAATAAATTGTTTTCACGTGATCATGGTGCTTTAGTTCATTGTCCTCCTGAGGGTGTTGATGAAGACATTGACAAGAGGAGTAGCAACACAGGTGAGGCACAGGTAGAGAGATTTATTACCGACTTGGTAAACATTTCAATCGTATAAAAGTATATAAAATATATGTGAGATACACATGAGAAATTTTCTTTAGGATTATCACAGTCAGATTTGAGCGTATCCTCAGCAGAGAGTCATAATCCTAGTTACCGTTATGGAAATCAAATGGGATACGATTCAGGAGGATTTGGATATCCAGAATATTCCGGATATGCAATGAACGCTCAAAACCAGTCACAAATACATATAACGTGTGTACAATTATTATTACTATTATTATTTATTCCTGCTTAAAAAAACAAGTTGGCTCATTAACAAAATGGACACAATCGAATATTTAGTAAAAATGTCCAAACTATTTCATTCATTTTGTTTTTTATATTTTTTTTAAGGCATCAAATTAAAAACTCAACCAAAGATGATAAGTCAGAAGAAAACCAAATAAATATATCTAGCCCAGAAAAAATGAGTGAGAAAAAAAATAATTGGCTCAACGATGAAATAAATGTAGAAAATAAAGGTGATGATTTATCGAGTAGCAACATAAAAGCAGAAGATAAAAAAAATAATGAAAATGACAAACCGTCCACATAAATATAAATAAAAAATTTTTTATAAAACTAATAAACTTTACATCGAATGAAATTTTTTTTGTTTAAACAAGGACACAACATTAATTGGTAACAGAAAAAAAACCCTCACAAGACTTGATAACTTT